TCCTTTCAAATGGCTTTGAGGTGCAAGCTAAATAGGTATACCCCAGGCGCACAGCTGCTTCAACTTTAAACAGAACTCCACCAATGTGTGAGCACGAATCACCAAGCCTTATAAGAAAAATCAAATCAATGTGCATCTAAATTGCAGATGATAAAAAGGGCATATGATATAAAAATATTTATAGATTTTAGAAAGCTTTGGCCAGGGCTTACTGGAAGTTTCTTTTAAGGTATGGGCAATGAATATTCTGGCCTCTTGTTAAAGTAGCTTGCAACCAGTCATAAAAACATTAAGCCATAAAAACAGTGTTATGAATTTAGTAAGGACTGTATGCTTAGATGTTTGGTATTGAGAATAAGAACTTTGAAAAAAGTGCTACCTTTGGCTAGGCCTAACCAATTTGTTAGCGTTTGTATATAATTGAAAATTACTTTCAAGAAAAATAACGTTTACTAGGAAAAATAATGACTGTAAAATAGCTTTTATCATTGATTTTACTCACCCTGACATGCAGTTCCAATGTGCACAGAGTATGGTTCAATTGCCGAAGCTGCCACCCAAGGTTTCAGAAATTCTTCGTTTATCCTTTGCGAATGCATCACTTTCGCCTACAGAACACTTGTAGACTTCAATTTATAGATATAAACTGTGTGGACCCACCCAGATTTAAATTGATTAAAAGCTTCCAAGCCTTTCCTGGACTTCATAGTCTCTTTCGTGTACACTCCTTCAGTGAGAAAGAAGAAATAATCACCTTAGGCCTATGAATATTACAGATTTTCATAACAAAGACTATGTTGCTCAGATTTGTGGGAGGGGAATCGAATATAAGAAAGATTATCAATATGTTTTCTTACCAGGCGTATTTATGAGATAATCATAAATATTGGGGTATTCAATGTTAGGCCACTGTGTTGGATTGTTCAACCATGCATCTGCCGGCAAGCGATACTGACACTCTCTTAGATTAATTGCTTCCAATTTCTGCAAATATTGATTTCTTGCTTCCGCGTTCAAGCCGGTATTCATAAGCCATTGCCAATATTTGAATCCATGTAGATTCAAAACGCAGAAAACGAAGAAAAACGAGATGTATATATGATAACTACAACGTATCAAAGGCTCGGGCCGCATTTGTTTTCAACCACCAATTTCTGTTGCTAAGGTAATGATGGTGATTGACATCACAGTGAAAAGGTCTATTGGAAGAACTGAAGAAGAAGTATTCACAATATCTGAAAGCAACAGATCAACTAACAAATTGCTATGACTGTAGATATCTATATGATTTAAGTGCACCATGTGAATGTGCATTTATCGCGATATCAAAATCAGGGACGAAATTCTGTAGGTGACCAACTGATGACCTTGGCGAGGTGTGCATAACAATAAACGGGATGTTGAAACCTGACATCCCATGGGAAGAGCTGAGGAAATATTCACAACACTTAGAAAGGACTGATAACCTGGTCAATTGCTGTTACTGTGGATATCTATATGATGGTAATGCTCAGTGCCATTGTTTCTTGCGTGATCTTGATAGATTGATAAACTGTTTCGATTGTGAGCTTCTACATGATACCAATGATCAGTGTGACTGTTACACACAATTCCTCAATAAGTGTGCAGAACAGGCGCTCAGAGTGAAAGTAAAGATACATTATAAAAATGGAACAATTAGTTGTAACTAGAAAGAATAAGCGGAAAAGTGAATCTACAAATAAGAAGAATAATAAAGGACAATGGAATAGTAAAAAACTATTACTTCAAGAAGAAAAAAGCTTTCAGGCAAAAGGGCTGGGAATAAAGCAATTAATATAATTGGAAAAAACATTAATTAAAGGGGCTATAGTACCACGCTTGTTAATGAAACTAACAGGACAACTTAAAAAGGAGATACGCAATCATAAACGTTTAATTTGGCGAAAGTAAATGGGTGGAACAGCAGCAACAATAGCAATAGATAAAGGGTTTGATGTAGCATTCCATATGATGAGGAACTTGATAATGCCTTTAAAGTTATAGGTGGTGAAGGAAAGTACAAAAGAAAGAAGAGTGAATTTCCAAGGAGAAGGAATCTAAAATTTGATAAGATAGGTTCAACTTTAGCAAGAGCAGCAGCTAAACATGCTATTAAGGAAGGGTTGAGGCAGGGAGGGAAAGCAATAGCACGAAATGTTACAAAAAAAGCTCTAAAACTGGTTGCAATTAAAGGAGCTAAATCACTTGCAAAGGGAGCAGCTGAAGCAGGAGCTGGAGTAGCAATAGATGCAGGAATTCAGAAAATTAGAGGGTCAGGGGAAAAGATAAAAGGAGTGAAACCACTGCAGAAAAGAAGAAGAAAAAAACCTGTAAAACGAAAGACAACAAGAAAATCAAATAGTTGAAAGAAGCTGAAAATTCCCTGCACTCTAAAGTGAATGAATTTCGCGAAATGTTAAATATGTTTAAAGTCAAGATTATAGAAGTATTTATATTTATCCTAAGATTATTAGCTAATATTAATCAATGCACATTTTTGAGAGGAAAGTGGAGATGTAGTAGGGGTACGAGGTGTTCCATGCCAAATAAAGGAAGCCTTTATTCGAAATGATCATGTGATATAGTTATAGATTAATGATGTTACTTACCAACATCAACAACAACAATGTAATGATACTAATTTATGCAACAAACCATTTTTAAATTGCTGACGTAATATTCGAATGTTTAAAAATAAAAACTAATTATGATTGGTTGAAACTGTTGTAATATTGGAACATTCGAATTGTTGACTTGATTTTTTTAAGACGTTGTTTTTAAGATGTATAAGACGTTGATTTTGATGTAAAGCTCAGTTGGAATTTGCAACTACAGAGAACAGACGTCTTTTTTCAAAGCTCTTCAAATAGTGAATTAGTGGAAGGCAATGACAACTACAAAGAAGAAGACTGAAATGTTCAGTGTACATTTTTCCAATAATGAAGGTGAATCTAACATGTGCACAGATTTCAACATTACTCAGTGCAGGTGCTGAAGACAAATGGGTGTTGACTACTGAGGATTCGTTTAAAGGTAAACAAGTGAAAAAAGGAGTATATTCTAACATGGATTGATTCGCAGGTGAATTCTAATAACTTGAAGAGAGCACATCACATGGAAGATCGAATTTTATTGCATGGACTGTTTGGTTTTTTGATGAGCCATGTACCTCCAGCTGTGTATCACTCTCTGGAGAGCTTGATGTCAAAGTTAAAAGCCTCTGCTAAGATATGATATTTCTTGCATCAAGAAGTAAAGTGCAAACCCCAAAGTCCCTATCCTTCTAAATGGCTGTAAGGCAGCTAACAAGATCCCCAGAGATGCTTAGATTACGAAACGGCATTGGTCATCCATGTGGGCCAATCTTACCTATGAATCTGATCTAGCTAGGCTTGCAAGGAAAGCTGGCAGTCTAGTTTCTAAGGGTTTTGCTAAAGAAACTTTCACAACTCTTGTCTATGACATCGATGATTTCCAAGAAGAAGCATATTATCAGACGCTCCTCACTGCTGGAGTCAAAATTCAGAAAGAGAGCTCCTTTCATGAGGAAGATCCAGGTTCCTTTTGTAAAAAAGGGAAAGATCTGTGGAGGCACTACCTGTAAATATTCCGCCATACAATCTGGAAAAAAGAAAGTCACCAGATTTTGTTGATGCAGGATTCCTATTGATCAAGGAAAGTGATCACAATCACAAGAAAAATTGACTTTGCCCTGTTTTATCCTGATGAAGTTTACACAAAACCTCAGTCAAGAACGGCTACCAGGCAGGACAGGCTTCAACATGCTTTTAAATGGACCAGTTGTTCCAAGTGTTTTCCATATAGGTTATATGCCAATTATTGATTCTGCTCCCGCAGAATTCCCAACAATATTTGCCATTCTATTGCAGAGCTTAAAGATAGCCATTGAGCTTGCAGTTAAATACCTTGTACTTGTGTTTGATCAAGCAATCTTTTCTGAAGTCCAGCAAATCGGGTAGAAAAATAGTTCTTTTATGGAACAGTTTCTTATAAGATTGGGAGACTTTCATAGTGTTCTGTCATTTTGCAGTGTATTTGCAATTCACAGATTCAAGTTTATAGGTAATAATTTGTTTTTTTATCAATTCTTTTAAAATATGTTTTCATAAAAAAGTTGCAATTTTGATGTTTATCAGGTTTTATGCATGCTTGAGAATTTGTTATGCAAGTTTTTCTTTTTAGAACCTTTGCTTTCATTTTGATACAGGGTATCTGGAAGAAGAACAGAGACAGGACACTGAAGATGATTCTTTGAAAATTGAGCAGCTGGAAAAAGAGCTGAGGAGTCTGCAAATGGAGCCAAAAGACCAGGGTTGCCAGACCCTATTGGTCAGCAGTAGCCAAACATGATGCTGAAGGAGGCCAAAATGTAGCCAAATTTTTTAGCAGAAGAAAACACATTGTTTAACGAAATTGATCAGTTTATATATTCTGAAACGAACCATTTCCATGGATGCATCATTCAGTTAATTCAGACTTAATTAAATTTTCCACTCGAGAAACAAAACAACAACAACAACAAACGTTGCTAAATTTGAAAAAAGCAAAACAAATCAATTACTAAAACTACATCGCTAGTCATACTGAAATTAGTAGAGTAGAATAGATATTAAAACAAAATTAAATTATTAAAAGCAGTTGAAAAAGTCAAAAGTCAGTTAATCAGAGAATTGTTCATCTCCACGTCAGCAATTAAATTTTATAATGACAATGCAACCATGAAATGAAAAATATATGATATATAAACATAATTCATTATAAACAATTACCCTGTTATAAACTTGGTTACTGCTTTGACTTGATAAAATTAACTTAATTAAATTCAGTTAAAAAATCAACAACGTGAAGAGAAACAGAACAAAAATTTTCCCAAAGCAGTAACCAAGTTTATAACATTGTTGTAATTGTTTATAATGAATTATGTTTATATATCATATATTTTTCATTTCATAGTTGCATTGTCGTTACAAAATTTTTCACAAGTATGCATTCAAGTTAGCTTCATCTGCATCTGCAGAAGTTTCCCCTTGGTTGTACATGTTTGTAGAATTGAACAACTCAAGCATTTCTGGTGAAACTCTGAGATCTCGGCAACATTTTTGCCCAAACTTGAAATTAACTCGAATTCTGATTACAGCATCCAGCATATCAAGACGCATTCTGCTTCTTAGCTTTGTTTTTACATTAGTGACGTGTGAAAACACTCTCTCGCATATGGCATTGCTCACTAGGGTCGCAAGGGCTGTTAAAGCATAAAGAGCCAATCTTTTGAATGGTTGCTCTCCTGTACTAGATGTGTACTTCAAAATTCCACACCAAAATTCAGCTGAATCTCTTGGGACAAATCCATTAAAAACGCTTTCGCCTGCCCAGTCGACATGAAGGATCCTGCGATATTCTTCTTCAACTGATGATATATCAGCCATGACGTGAAGCATGGGTAAAGAATAAAACGGCACACGGTCAACCTGAGAGAGAACTGTCGCTGGGGACAGGTAGCTGAGGCCTTTGAAAATAGTTTCATTCCCAGGAAGTCTATTTTCAACCTGTGTAAGCGCTTCAACGAGAAAACTCTGGCATCGGTTATACACTTCCTCTACCTTCACTTTCGCTTCAGCAGAATTTCCGTGATGATGAATATACTTTTGTGATTCCATGACAAATTTCACACCAAAATCAACACGAGAGTTTGGCAGAACTTCATCGCCTGAGCCATATATTCTGTAGCGTAGAGTGCTGTGGAGCAGGAAGAGCTGTTTGACCATGTCTTCAGGATCTGCATTTGTGGCTTGAAATGACGCATTAACTCGTTCAAATTCTGTCACGATTGGAGAGAGAAAATGAAAATAAAGGTGGTTGATGTCATCATTCAACATGCTCAGCAACATTCTTGCTTTGTAGCGAACATCTGATTTACAATTGGGCTCTTCTACCAAAAAATACGCTTTCAGTTCCTCCCAATTGACAAGAATGTTGAAAAGCACCTTCCCTCTGACAAGCCATCGAGTTGCAGACATTTTCTGGAATGGCATTGGTTTACCTGCGTGCTCATTATTTGGATTCATGACGTCTATGAGCTGGTGGAAAGCCTCTCTTCGTAAAATGCTTTTCGAAAACCACTTCGGTATTTCCTTCAGAAGAAAGCCAAGATTCGCTGGCATCTTCTCGAATGCATGTTGGACACACAAAGCCAGTGAATGACAAATACATTTCATCCGTATACAATTTGGCGACGATTCCCGAATCCTGGACCATTGTAGAAGCACCATCACTTGCAAAGCCAAAGCAGTTGTGCAGATCTAGTCCAACCGTTTGAAGACCAGTTTTCACTGCCTGAAATGAGTTTTCACCCGTCGCTCCGACAACTTCTATCATTCCAACGAACGCTGTGGCCACTTGCATTTCTTGCTCACTGAAGTATCGAATGCATATACAAAGGTTCTTTTTTCGCGGCAACATCTGTGGACTCATCAATGAGCACTGAAAAACCTTTCCCTTCTACATCTTTTTGAAGCTCGATTTCAAAGATGGTGACACAACATTTTTTATCAACTGACTACATTTTGTACAGTGGAGTTGCATTTCCCCCAAAGCACTTCCTTTGCCATGCTGAACCATTAATTCGCCCAAATGATCAACGGCAAGGATTGCAGAGTGACAGGCTATGCCAACAGCTATTTGAATTTCTGCTTCTTTAACATCCCGTTTGGTTGTCCCTGGTCGAGGGCGTCTTTCTACAGCTAAAGGTCTCATTTGCTGAGTTTCTTTGATTCTAGTTGAGTGCTCAGAAGAGCTTTCATGCTTGGAGATTGACCAAAGTTTCGCTTGAAGAGATTTGCGACAGAGTTTACAGTATGCATTCCCTTTACCATCTGGTGATTCTGACAGCCATACATATTGCTTCTCCCAGCTCTTCTTATACTTTCTTGAACTATCGTAACTTCCTTTCCATTTTGAAGCCATCTTGCAGTTTATTCAAGTGTTTTGCTCAGCTCTTACTATCTGTACTACTTTCGAGAATAATTTTTACATGACTTGGCTTCTGCAATGGAGCGTATAATGAACTTACAGTCCGATGACCCCGCACATGATAGCTGGGTCACACAAGCACCTCATCCGGGATTAATAACAATAGATTGTACATTGGCAGAAACAAAAATCAATTACAAGTAATTTGATGACGAGAAATTTTTCATAAATCAATCATAATTCTTAATCATAATACAGATAAAATTAGTAAAACCGAAAAAACACAGAAATTGTGTAATCAAATGACAATAGGCCAATTTATAGCCAAAATATAGGTGGAGGCCAAATGGAAATGTTCGTAGCAAAAGTCTTTCCAATTAGGCCAGATTTCTGGAATCTGGCCTCCCAGTAGGCCAGTTGGCAACCCTGCAAAAGACTGGCGAAAGAGGAGATAGAAAAGTTTGTAGAGAGATGGTTGAGCTGCCAAGGTCTACAATGAATTCAAGTGAAGTTTCAATATTTGGCTATGAGTGATGCTCAACAGACAGTGCCTCAATCAAATTTTATATGGGGGTTTTCAAGCTATTCTCATTTGAAAACATTCTTCGAACTTGCTAAAATAGGGACTCAGTTCAAAAAGTATTGTTATGCTTGAAGAGAAGGATAAATTCGACTTGCTTCAAGACAACTCCAACAGATTGACGATTGACGTTCCTCTGCCTTGTCTGGCTTAATTTAGGTTTATTTAAGCATGATCGACAATCATTGCTGTCAAAACACTAACATCAGTTTTCCAAGGCAAATTCAGCCATCCACTTTCCCCCTAGGAACATTCTTGATTTATGATAGAAGAGAACCATTTTCATGTATGATGTTCTTCTATACTTTCAAAATTATTTTGGGGGAAAAGGAAGGGAAGTAGAAGTGTTCAGGAAAACAAAGGAAAATAGAAAAGCACAGTGCAAAGTGTTAGGTGTTCCAAGCATATTTTGCAGTGATTGTAGCAGATTGATTCCAAATGAATATTTCTTCAATTAGTAGAAAGATGACAACTTTGGTGAATTACTTGTATTCCTTCCTGGGCAGTCAGCCAATTTGGCCAACAAGGCAGTGCATCCAAAAGCATATGCCACATGGCTTTTGTAGGATGTATCTGGAAACAAGAGTCATAATTGACTTTAAAGAAATTTTTGTAGAGACACCACCACCTCCTGCTTCATTACTCACAACTTTATTTATCCACTCAAACACTGCAATGAAGGGGCTGATAGGAAAAACACCTTGAGGTGCAATTTCTTTTCTATCGTCACTTCACACAGGTTCGATCTCCTATAAAGAAACAAAAAGTTCCAGCGGAATATTGGAATTGCCAGAACCAGGTGATGCAGTGATGGCAGATGAAGGTTTTGATGTGGAGGATTTACTGAAATAAAAAGGAGTAGTTCTTAATATTCCTTTTTAAAAATCAGACACAATTTCAACCGGTGGATGTGCAAGAAACAAAACTAATCGCCAAACTTTGTATACAAGTTGAGAGAGCAATTGGAAGGATAAAATAACATCACGTTTTTGATGCAGACATTCCACTCTCTACATTACTGTCATTTAACCAAATGTATACAATTACACTTTGCTAACAAACTTACTTACAAGCAAAAGAAATCAATTCTCTACTTAATCATGAATTAAACACTAAATAGTTGTTAAAAAACCTGTTACAAAAATAGTGAAAAAATATATCCATTCGGTGTTTTGCTTCTTGAAAGAATTCTTTCTCAAAAATTATTCGATCACAAATAAAGAAGCTGTCATTCATTGATGTCGCATCATTAACGCCCAGTGATGCCAAGTTGACACTGAACTTGGAAAAAGTAAATATGGTTGCTTTTCAGATTGTCTGCCCCAGTGTTTGGGCTCAGTTCAAGATAACCAACATTGCAAAAATGTTCCTTTTATACCACCTTTATCTCGAGAAGGCCAAACATTGCAAAAATGTCCCTTTTATACCACCTTTATCTCGAGAAGGCCAAAAAGATTCTGCCCAGAATTCACAGTGGATAAGTCAGACACTTTTTGATCAGGGCTGGACCCAAGCCAAGGAGATCATTAATAATCAGCCCTGACGGAAACAAGTTAACTGTGTTTTCCTTAGGTTCTGTGCAAAAATTGTAGTTGCATATTTAAGTTTAGTTGTTTTAGAAGCATCTCAAAATAGCTAATTATTTGGAAACAAGTCAAAATTTACTGGTTGTAATTCTTTTCATCCTTAAAAATTCCATTGTGAATTGAGAAACCGTTTTATCGTGGATGTCAGTCACAATTTCCTCAGTTTCATCAAGAAAATCAAGCAATGCTTGCTTTTTCTGTGAAGTAAAAGAGAAAAACTGTTCTCAAACCTGTCCCCTGATGTTTCTAAAGGAAGGTCTTGGCAGGCACTACATGTATCATCATTAATAACATATTCCACAGAATAACTCTGTTGGTAAGACAAGACACTTCCTTTAGAAACATTTCAAAACTTGCAAGCTGCAGTTGGTATCTGATGAATCTGGCTTATGCTTGACAGAAGGGTAGCCACAAGTGGCTCAGGATCAAGTTCAAGGAGACATACAAAAAAGCACAAAATTAGCAAAATATGTAGGCATTACAAGGAGTTTTGGCAGAAATTGAAGCTGCTCATAATGCGCCAGGTAAAACAAAAGACCAATTGAATGATGACAGTATCCACTCAACCCAATCAACACATGAGCATTTGGCTGATATTGCATTGGGTTTTAAACAAATAAATACATTTAAATAATGCGGGCCTTATTTTCTTCATTGATCTGTAACACCTTGTTTTAATTGTAACATGAAGATAACGGACTTGAAAATTAAACATTTGCAAACTAGTGCCCAGATGATCTTAAATAACTTCAGAGAAATTATAGGAATAGTATACACTTATATTAAATCAATGCACTGATTATCTTATTGCAAGATTTCATAAAACTAGCCCAAGAAATTATGAAGTCCAATTTCAGGATGTAGTTTGGAAAAGATACTGCACACAGATTAGACAAAGGTACATTCAAACAATTTATGAGGAAGTTCTACCAACAGAGATTCCAACTACAACAGAAGAAACAATTCCACTACCTACACAAGTACAAGAACCGAGTACCAAAAGCATAAGAAAAGAAGCAGTACCAGAATCTAACATGAAAGAAATTTAATCCGAACCAAGATACCCTCACAGAGAAAGAAAAAAAACCAGACAGATTGGTGATTGAACATTTGTTGTCATAGCTTAACCGTTAACCGTTAAGTTGTCATAAAATGATAAAAAAAACGATTTTTATATTTTATAGTGAAAATGCTCTGTCATCTATGCTAAACTGATTCTCAAATTTTCTCACAAATATCTCCAAGTTTTACCCCGAAAATAAATCATTGAAACAAGTTTTTCAAATTTTCCAGTTTGTCCTGCCTCCAAATTTTGGAAAATTACGCCCAAGAGATTCCCAAAAGACTAAAAATAAATGTAAAGCGCAGCTTCTTAGCTATTTGATCTTCAAAGAGAGTCAAGTCATCTACCCACACAAATCATGAGGCAAGGGATGGCTTTGTCATTATAAGCATGGCATCCTTACAAGAGATTGTTTCCATTGATGTCTGCCCAAATTGCAAAGCCGCTTTGATAATCAAGAACTTGTTAGAGAGAAAGATATTGGGTTTCCCACTTCATGATATTGCCATTTCAAAAATGTAATTGGAAGGGAGAGAAAATGACATCATAAACCCTAGTAAATTTATTTCCAGGCCAAAGCCGCAGAATAGAAATGACCAGAAGGGACACTCGTGTCAGCATCCTTTGTTGCAAGCTCACTCAATTTTTTCTGGCGCCGCGCTGTCTTTACATACAATTCTCGATTTTAACCGTCATGAAAGGAGGCTAGTAGTCTAGGATGTCTTGCAATCACAGGTGTGATGCAGCAAATTTCAAAACAAGCTCCTTTGAATGTCACTGAGGCTGCACTTCATACAATCATGAAGCAAAAGGAGAGTGAATAAAAACACAGAGGCGCTTAGCTCGTTAAGGATCGTGAGTTTGGAAACGATATTTAAATTCCGTGTTATCTAATAGTCAATGCTACAGTTGTGAGATGCAAGACCGCCATTGATAGCAGTATTTTTCAGCTATAAAGCAACAAATACAGGGCAAGTTACTAGTTTAATTCTTTATCTGATTGTTTAATTTGTTTTCTTAGTCCTATCTCGTATTATTGTGTTGTTTTTCATTGATGTGCTTTGTTCATGCTTATTGTTTTACATACTATCCTCGTTTTGGTGACGCATGCGCTAAAAAACTCACTCTCAATCGATTGACCAGGAGTGACCCTTTGTGTCATTTTTATTTTGTGCCAAAGCTCATTTGAAATCAATGTCAGAATGATAATGGGCTTCAGGGAGTTTGGTCAGGGCCTGGCATCTAAGTACCCACTCATGTACACCTGGCATCTAAGTACACACTAAGCAATGTTGTTAACATGCCTCCACCAATGTCAAAGCCAGCATATAATAATGCTGTCAAACTACTACAGCTATGTCACACTGAAGTAGCTGTTTGCAGCATGAAAATGCTGCTAAAGATAACAAATCTTTGCTCAATCAGAGCAATGGAGAGGGTCCAGTCAATTGTAGTGTCTTGATAGACAGAACTTGGTAGAGACATGGACATGCATCTCTGAATGGTATTGCAACAGCAATTGCTAAAGAATCTGGAGAATGTGTTGATTTTCAGGTTAAATCAGAGATTTGCAAAGCATGTGAGAAATGGAAGCTGCTAAAAGTAACAGAAAAGTTGGATGTATGGAAAGCAGCCCATAAATGCCTAATGAATCACAAGGGATGTTTTGGGGCAATGGAATCTGCTGGGGCTGTTGAGATATTCAGGAGATCAATTCCTTTTCTGAATCTTAGGTTTACTGGATATATTGGAGATGGAGACAGCAATTCATATTCTTGATATAAGAAAACTGGAATGTGCTGGGCATGTCTAGAAGCCAATGGGCAGACACCTTAGAAATCTGTGAAAGTCTTTCTCAGGTCAGAAGTTATCACATGAAAAAAGAATTGTTGGCAAAAGGAGACTAACTGATAAGGTCATTAACACAATACAGAAGTATTATGAATTGGCAATTAGGCAAAATGTTGGCCAACTTTATGCAATGAAGAAAGCTGTTGGTGCTGTCTTGTACCATATTTCAGAGAATGAAAGTACTGAAGATCTTCATAAGTTTTGCTTGAGGTCTGCAGACAGCTGGTGTTAATTCCAGACTGACAAAATAACTGAGAAAAATACAAAAAAGAAAGGATATCCCTGCCAGAAGCAATAAAAGAAGTTGTGACACCAATCTTTAAAGACCTTAGTAGTGATAATTTATTGGAGAGATGAGTCATTGAGAAAATTCAAATTAGTTATTGAATAAGCATATATGGCAGAGATGTTTAAAGAGAATGGTTGCAGCAAGAAACATTGTTGAGATGATCACTGCATCTGCAGTTTTATATTACAAAGATAGAATCACAGATTTAAACCTTGTTCTTGCCAAGCTTGGGATTGCTGCTGGTACATTCACCAATCAAATGGCAATAGGACTGCGCCCCGATTCTATTTATAGTTTCTTCCTGATCCACGCACTGAATCCTTGGAAGGGAGTGCGGACAACAATGTTTGGCCTAGTGTTAGAGTGTCTTAGAAAGACCTGTAACCGTGTAGACGATGAACAAGAAGACAGTCTCCAGACCTAAAGGAGCAACCAAGCATTGTTGCTGGGGTACTTTCAGATGAAACAACATTTATACGATTTCCAAAGCCTGGTCGTATCAAACCTAACATGTCTGAATGGGAAAATTAGCAAGAAAACGAGAGGACAGAGAAGGCAAAGCGATGGCAACATTCATGCGGGAGGAAAGATTTTTATTCATTAGACCAGATTAAAAAGGACACTTACATCTGCACACAACATTTCATTGGAAGGAAAGGTCCTACTGCTGAAAATCCAGACCCAATAACCGCGACACTGTCTGAGTCACAGGTTGATTCGTTGTTTGCAAGGTCTTTAAGACGGCAGAATTCTAAAAGTCGAAAAAGGAATGAGATGCCTGAAATTGAGATGGCAGCAGCTAAAAGAAAAATTAACTGCGAATCTGTAGAAGAATCTGTAGTCTTTCTACGGAAGAGCCAGTAATTCTGCTAAACATTTGCTGGTACCAGGCAGTGAAAGTAGACTGATTTCTTGTTGCTTCCTCAACATATTTTGCCTCATTTGGCGTGATACTAAAATTCTGCATAGTCCTGCTACAATTTATCATGACCCAAATTCTCAGATGATTGACTGTATAAAGCCAACAGTGTTTTTTGCTTTGTAAAAATTAAATGAATAAAATTAAATTAAATGAGCCTTAAACAGAGATATCCAACGCAGGACATGTCAGAAATAGAAATTATATTTAAAAACTCCATTTCTATCATCGTAGATGAACGACAATTCAGCAAATTGTTTTCTTTATCCTTGATCTTGTCTTAGCATCTTGTGTATAGAAGTCTAAATAAGTAGCCTTTGGTACTGCAACATCTATTACATAACTCTGATTCCATTTGCAAGGACATGCAAATAAAATTGGCTGCTAAAACACAGATACTCTAGTTTATTGCTACTCAAAGTTGATGTGGTTTTTCTGTGACTCTGTAAGATGGTGTAACAAGGTATTTTGCCAAAAATACACCTGCAACCTGATAGGCATCAAAACCAGAATCTCCACTCTAGAGCCACAACCAAAATATGATGTATAGGTTTTCAAGCTATATATACGGCATATACCTTCTTCTATACTGTATTTTTTGGTTTGGACCAATAACAAAGCCACATTTCAGCTTTCTAGTTGCTTGTCTGTTTAATGCCAGAAACCAATGTTGACAGCCCGCTAAGCTGTGAAAATATTTCATGTACTGCCACTCCTTCATAATGAACCTACTTCACACAACTACATGAATAAATGACCACACAAACAAAATGTCTAGCTCTGTCCAATAATCCTAAAACCATGAGCGTAGGAGATAAAGGGGCTGGGAGGGGGTTGTTGTCTATAGCTGCAGAAAAAGCTATCACATTCAGGCTTTATTCCGATAGTTCTATACTGATGACATTATGATATTCAGCAAGTTTCTAACATATTTAGCTCACCTATACGTCTAACATCTGCTATGCCCATGACTTAAACCTTATGATCGATAAGCATAAACATATCAAAGTTGCATATTAATGATTGAAAGAAATATTTTTAGAAATGACATGAAAAACACTTCCAGTGAGGCTAATTGCCAAATGTGAAAATTTTGACGATCGCTTCTTCTCACAATTACCATGTGCTTTTTCCTGCCAAATTGCTTTACAAAAGTCTTCCCTCGTTGGCATTTACTACAGATATACATGTATTGACAATCCACTATTTGTATGATTATAGTTGTTGCATGACTGCTTTTAACAATAGCTACTTGGCAGAAAATTTATAAAAATGAACACAGAAATATAGACATCTTCCTGATATGGCACGAGATGTATCTTTTTAAAGTCGTGAGAAGTGGACAGCTTCATGTGCTCGCTGCTTGATATCATGTTGATACTTTATTTTGTGAGCAGACCATTTGCGCAGAGGATAATTCAGAGACAACACAAAACATTGTTATAACAGGAACAATCACCATTATGGTCATCATCAACGTTATCATTAACATTTTCAGTAAAGCCATAATTGCCAAAAATTTTGTGATACGTTCTTTCTACAATTAAAATAATACCCAAAGGAATTGTATGACATGCATTCAGAAAGCATCTACTCAAGCAACCCTGGTTTCCATATTCAAATTAGAGCCAAGGATAAAATCTGACAAACCTTTTAATATTTGATGAATCGAATACAGTAAACTTTTAAATGTTATGAATTTTTCATAATTTATACCTACACCAACAAAAAATCCTGATCCCCCGCAAACGGTTTCCTTGTCATACAAATATTCCTTTTTTTTACTCATCCAAGGAGAAAATTAATCACACATGGCTGGAAATTTGTTCCAGTCTTGAGCGTAGAACGGTTGTTCAATTGAGTCAAACAACTCATATTCGTATAGTTCTATTGAGATCCTGGAAAATTTTTTTACAATGCTAAATTGTCTGTTTTGTCTGCAAATTATGCCATTTGTTGGCGAATTTGGCATTGAATTTGGGTTGGCGAAATTAATATTCGCCACTAATGCCTAGAGGCGCTTCCTAAATCCTATTGTCTTTTTTTTATTCGCTGCATTATTGTCCAAGATTCGTTTTCATTTCAGTTTTTCCTTTTGCATTTGTCCCCAACCAACATTAAGGGGACTCCTTTCTGAGTCGCATGTCCATGTAGACTCGGAAAAGTCTCTTTCTTCTTTAGCAGAAGAATCTGCAAGAAATTAAGAAATTTGTTTAGGAAGCAGAAAAACTGTGTTTTCAAGCTTCCCAAATTTTCAGAAATGTAGGAAATTTGACTATTATTTTAAAAAAAATGCTAATTTTGATATAATTTTTTTAACTGTTCGAGCATATTCCCTGTCTATTTCTGCCTGAGGAAAAGCAAATTGTTGATCTCATTGTCTCTAATTAGCAAGGCGATACACTAGAAGTATCAAGCTAAACTGTTACTGTTGTCATACGATAGATATTGAACAACACACTTGAGCCTTAAAATGTCCAAAAAGTATCTGGAGGAATAAATTGGTTCAATCATGTCCAATTTGTATTGTACCTGAACTACTTGAAGAGTGATCCAGTTCATTGTCATTGTCTGCATCATAAGTTTCATTAGCAGCTGTACCTTAAATAAAATATATTAGCAAACAGAGGTTAAATTTTGGTTGATTTTGTAATGCCTATTCCTCTAAGAGGAGATATTCCTGTGCCGTTGGATGCTTCCCCCTTCTGTTCCGACGGCCATGGACTCATATCTGCCTAAAAAACTTAATTAGTAATGTAGTAAAGCTCAACCTAATATTAAAGATGTTGATCGAATAAAAAAGCCTTTACAAATAATTTCCTAAAATTTGATTTGATGTAGTTTAATAACATTGCTGATTAACATTAAAGTTACTGCTTTGTTGATTAAATTAATTTGCTTCCAAAATGGTTTCATTTACTTTATCAAGTGAATAAGTTGAGAGAACAATTTGCACAGTCGTCACAACAACATATGCATCTTCTGCATTCCAGTGGGTGCTGACGCCTAGGGGACCCAGGAGCATTGTACATAATTTTTTTTATAGCTTCTTTTGCCTGCGCAGATTTACTACAGGATTATTACAGTACAATAAGGCTGTGACGCCACTGATAATTTGCCATGGAACTACCTTTATCCAAATGGTCTTTAATACTTGTTATGATGGCAATCCATTTTCTGAGCCAAAAATAAGTCATTTCTCTTACCAAATTTTTCTTCTTGCTCATCAGCCGCGTCATAATCTATATCACTTGCAGAAGAATCTGATAATGTCAACTCAGATTCTTTTTCGCATTTACAGCAGGCATCTGTTTTAACAAATCAATCTGATATAAAAATTTCGAATTAAATCCAAGCAAGCAAGTTTGGGTGATATAGAGATAAAAAGCTTGATGCAATGAACAAAAATAATGCTTATTATATACAACCTTTATTTATATTCATATATAAAAAATTAATAATTTTTTATCAGGATTAAGCTACAAATGAGGTCTGGGAAAGGGAAAGTATCATTAATTTGAAAATCAACAGAAACTAGATTTAAGCCATCATTACTTAATTTGTTATAGATAGAATCCAATAGAAGGAATCACGAATCTTACCAGATTTGCTTGATTTGGTGGAGGAGGAAGTTTCGTCTTGTAAGAGTACCAAACTTTCCACTTCACTGTCACTGTCCGTGTCAGCTTCATATCCACTCATAGCTTTTGTCGATCTTCTTCTTCTTATCTTAACTTGCACATTGTTTTTTGCTATTGTTGACAATCTCTCCTGTTTCAACCTCTGGACCTAGATCTAATGTGTAAATTGACATTGAGCTAATTTTTTTAAAAAGCGCTTAATTAAAAATAATGTATATCTTTATTAAAATAGAAAAAAAGCAAAGAAAGAAAAAAGTGACGTATTTTGAAAACCTGCAGTTTGTCTGCTTTATCATTACCAGTTTCGCGCTCCTCAACAGCAACAACTGCTTCTTTTTTGGCTAACTATGGACGTGCCAGCTCTGCATTTGGTCTAAAAGAGAGGATTTCAAGCAACTATGGAGCATATGTCCAAACTTTAGAGTCTAGGTTAACAAAAAGCTCTACTTCAAAATAAAATGCTGTAGTCTCATTAAAAGTAAAAATTTTCGAAGCAGGTACCTTTTTAGAAATAACAGTTTCTTCATTAATCATTTGATAGCTTTCGCTGTCAATGTAGGCTTGTTGCCTATAAATATTGCGCCATTTCTCCTTTTCATCCTGCATTCTATGAATCGCAATGTTCTTCTCATGTTTTGCCTATAAGGAAAAACAGCATTAACTTACAAAATATTTCTTTGTTTAGGGAATATATGCATTTAATTGTTGTTCGCTCGAACCCAGCTCAAAAATCAAGGATATCGTATTTACTCTTATATTCCGGCTGCGGGTGTAGCGTTTCAACCCAACAAAAAAATGCGGGATTATTCGAGAGGCGGGTATAGTGGAGAGGCGGGATTATTTTTTCAATGCCTTGAAGTCTAGTTTGAGGATACCGTTTCAACAAAAAAGTATCTTAAATGTGATTGTGGCAAATCAGAGAAAAAATGTGCAATTTCCATATGTATGGGGGGTTAAAATTAAATGGGGGGTGGGATATTTATTTTAACAGACAAGAAAGCAGAAATTGTGCTTTATAGACAGTAGTACAAAGTCAAAAAAACAACCTTCTTTTTTTGCTGCGAGACTTGGATGTTTGATAAACTTGCAAAATAAGACAGCTCTCTGCCCTCTCTCGTCTAGACATTGTCATGTGATTTAACCAATTCACTCCAAGCATAAGTTTCAATGCTTGATTTTCAACCCATACAAAATGTGTAAAGAATAGCAAATGCCAATTAGAAGTTTCAATCCCGCATGCAGGATTATTGAGGAGACAGGATTACTCTTACAATCTA